GTTTACATTTGTAGTGTCCACTTAATTATCTTTATACACCTCCATAAATTGTATTCAATAAGAATGGCTGCTATAACTTTTAACAATTTTTTTTAACAAATGCTTTTCTGTTTAGTGCTTATAGCTTAACTTCTCTTTGTTCATCAACACTTTATATTCTTGACCACTGATACATTTGCCATCAAAGTGTAGTGACCAGCTTTCTAAATGTAGTGTTTTCTTTAATAGTTGTGCTTCTTTAATAGTTGATCTACTGTGAAGGTTTCTGAATGTCTATCCTATCTTGAGATAACTGTGGACAAATGGTTGCTGCTTTATTGGTTTATAACTTTGAAGATGTTACTAATTTTGTTGCAGTTTTGGTTTTGTGGTAGTTCTAGCTTGTAAGTTCAGGATTTTCTGAATCTTCAGACTCAAAATATTCTTAGACTCAAATTTGGAGGTTGGCTCCAAATTTGAGTCTAAGAATATTGCTGTTGCCATTACTGTTGTTGAAGTAGGCTTCTAAGACTGTTGTTGAAGTAAGCTTCTAGGACATTTTTCTTCTTTTGGATGAATGGATTGTTTTTGAACTAGCAGTCTTCCCAGTTATATACTTAACATGTCCTTTGTTTTCAATCTGATGATGATACAATCTTTTGTCCTCACTGCATATCCATTCACCATTTTCATTTTGTGATGCTAAAAACTTCATTCAACGGATTGTATTTTCTCTGTTTTAAACATTTGTCTTCAGCACATAGGTTTTGCTGTTATGATTTGTATTGATTAATGTAGAAAATTTAATTTCTGATGCCATAAACTTGTTTTTTTTTTCTCGATTTGCTTTATGCATTCTCGTTTCCTTTTGATGGTTTCTTCCAGGATCAGATAGTGACCAACAGTTAGTATTTTGAGTGGTATTCGGCTGTTATCCAACAGTGATTTTTTCTTCTAGTGGAACAGTTATTCTTTTCTTATGTGACTTGTTTTTTTTAGTAGTGGAAGTACTATAGAACATAGAACATATATATATAGAACATTATGATTGAAGATAAAACTTTTCTGAAGATAATATACTTATATATATATATATATATATATATATATATATATATATATATATATATATATATATATATATATATATATATATATATATTCTGAAAGTCAATGATAATAATTAAGCGCTGTTGAAAGTCAAAGTAATTATAAGCGCTGTTGTACTTATATTATTACAGATTCATATATATTTATCAGCTTTACTCATTATCAGCTTTACTCAATCAGACAGCTTATATAGTCTAAATCTTGTTAATTTTCATAAACTTTGTTCAAGAAATTTCTAGGCTTCAGAAAGTATAATTTCTGCTAATACTATTTATATACCATTTTAAAAATTTTGTGTTGTGAGTGACCTTTTTTTAAAATAATCAGAATAAAACCCATTTTCACTACTTTTATATATATATATATATATATGTATGTATATATATATATATCCTTATAGTGTAGTCGAAAGAGACTTTTATGGTAAAAAAAGTCTCTTTCGACTACAATTTTTTTACCTTGTCTCTTAGGCTGCATTTTATTGTCGTCGAAATGTCAAAGCAATTAAATTAATGCAAAAGTACATTAAATTTTATTGTTTTTTAAAAAGACTGCAATAATAATGACTAGAAAGTTTTTTTTAATTAGTGGTGTTTTTGTTTTTGTTTTATTAAAAAACATTTTTAAAACATGCGTAAGTGTTGCTACATCGACTATCTTATAGCCTGCTGCTACAAGGGAGTGTTGCTACATCGACTACCTTATAGCCTGACTCGAAACAGAGTGTTGCTACATCGACTGACAAATAGGCTGACTCGCAAGGGAGTGCTGCAACATCGACTGAGGGTTTGGTTTGGGCATGCAGTCTATCATTTAAAACATTTTCTGGTCAGGCTTATTAACGCGCTTTTTAAAATAACAGTTAATGGGAAAAACTATATATATATATATATATATATATATATATATATATATATATATATATATATATATATATATATATATATATATATATATATATATATATATATATATATATATATATATATATGAGAGAGAGAGAAAATAAATAAAGAGAGAATTATGAAGTCAGAATCTTTTAGTTTAACAGTCTTTAAATATTTTAGAATTCAAGGTTTTAAATGAGTTATAGATAGAGAATTCTAATTAAATATTATTTTTTCCACTCTTTTTCGCTCACTATATTAAAAGTTGGGTGATTTTTTTTTTTAGACAAGTATAGAAGTAGGAAGATTCGTCAATAGCTGATTTTATAGTTTAGTTCTTCTTGTTATTTTTTATTGAGAAGGGAAGAAAGTGCTTATATTTGTATTTACATTAATATTTACATAATTTTTTAAGTACTAAAATAAGTTATACATTTATATAGAAAGTTGTATGTGATTGTGTTCATTGTGAATTACTTATGAATTACTAAGTTTGATTAATTGGTTATGTATTAAATTTTCTATTATTATGTTGTAAGAAGTAATCTTAACCATGCAATATTAATTGAAGTGAGTTTAATGTAATTACTCAAAAATTACCTTGGGTAGATTCGGGTAATATGAGAATACCATTTTTAAGATGTGAGCAGTATTTTTATAATCGACTTGATGTGCTGAAAAAAAAATTATTTATATAAATTTGAATGTTTATATAAATACTCAAATTTATATGAATTTTAATATTTACAATTAATATCTTGCTGTAATTTAAATTCAAAAAATTTGTATTTTTATTGTTTAAAAGTTTGAGTTGATATAATTTAAAAAATTACAAATTTTTTTTACATAAAATAATAGTATTATAATAAAAAGTAGCTTAAAATTTTTCTTTCAAGTGCTCATATTACCCAAGTGGTCTGGGTAATATAAACACTTTTGTTATATTTTTAAAACGTTTGTGTTTTTAAGAAAAAATTTCGGGTGCCCAAATATCTATGTGAATCATGAGATAGGTATCAGCAATTTCGGTATAATGTTGCTCTAAGTTGGAATAGATAGTTTACAAGAAAATAAGAGTTCTATACAAAAAATCCAAGGTTAACTATCTATAGTAGCTATCTTATTAGAAAAATCAGCATAAACCGCTTTAAAGACGCCATTTTTTTTGTAAAATGCGTTATTTAAAATAAGTTAACGTAAACAAAACTAAAACTCTCCAGCGGTTTATTTTTTTTTTTTTTTTTTTTGCAGTTTTTAAGCTAAAAAGATTATTCATTTTTAACTTGAAAACAAAATTATTTATAAAAAAAATCTTCTTGGAGATTTTGTCTTAACCAGTCAAAAAATTTCATTGTAAGCTATTTTGATTTTTTTTGATCAATAGAGGTTTATTGGTTTACAATAAGCCCCTTTACCTCAAGACTGTAGTTGGACAAAACGTAGCGTTAAACGAGAGCTGTTTTCTTGCGTGTTATGCAGCAGTAAAAAAAGTTGATAATCTAAGATGACGTAAAATAGAGGACTCAGTGAGAGTTTTGCCATTTAAAAATATAGGAATATCGACAACATTGGAATAGTTGTATGCAGTAAACAACTGGGTTTTGTTGCAGTTAAAATTCATAAGTCACGTCAAGGCCCAAACTTGACGCGACTTATGAATTTATCCAATCGGATGATAGTTGGAAGGTCAGAGCACTTGTTAAATGGTTTAGAGAGAATTGAAGAGAGAACAACACTTGTAAAAGTGGACAACACTTTTTTAAAAGTGGGCTACACTCTTTTAAGCCTGAATAGTTTACACTCTTGTAAGCCTGGTTTTTACACTCTAGCCTGGACAGCTCACACTTGTAAGTCTGGACAGAAATGTTGTCTTGACCACAAGCCGTAGAAGAATTTAATTGAGAAATGACTTAAGCAACGGAAGCCATAGTGATTTGGATGTCTAACATTTAGATGTCATTCCATTTAAACACCTGTTTAAATGGAATGATAGAAAGAGTTCATTTTTTTTTCAATTGCAATTATTTTGTAATTGAATAAAAAAACTCTATCTGTTTGCGTTGGTTGCTCAATTAAAATGTTGGTTGCTCAATTAAAAAAAGTCTTTTGATTGCTCAATTACTGTCTCATGAGACTTAAAGTTTAGGCTAACAGCCATTATGCACAAAAACAACATTTTCTTACCTTAATGTTGCTTTTTTCTTTCGACGTTACGCTATGACATGTTTCTTTATTGAAATAAACAAATTATAAGCTATGGCTAACTCTAATTATGTCAAAACACGATCTCAAAGTAATGAGAACGTGTTGTGACATTTATTCTAAATGATAATAAAGAAACATAATATATACAATTAAATAGCGCAATGTCTAAAGAATAAATTGGCTGACCAATAAATAAATGGTAGGTATGTCATTTGACACAACTGTTGAAAACACTAGCCATAAAAGTGGTGCATGTATTCAGCTGGAAAAAATTTTTGGCAGAGGTATTTAATTTTATGCTCTTCTTTGCGTTACAAAATTAATAAAGCTAAGCACATGCGATTTCCCAAAAAATTTTCAAAAAATTTAATGTCTTCCAAAGTTTCCAAATATATATTTTTAACATTTAAATAGCGTAAAATATAAAATCAGATTTAAAAAAAGAAGAAGAAATTAAGGAATTAAAACTTCCATGGTCAACAATTTTATAAAAATACAAATCTTGTATACTTGTATTATCAATTTAAAATTTCTTAAGTTTAAATTAACACAGTGCTGCCGGAAACGGCATTGTGCTAGTTTGAAATCGATTAATTTTAATAATCGATTTAAGGTTATAGTATTTCAGCTACTCTGAAGTGCAAAACGTCCTTGCCTGTTTATTTAATACTTCAGAGTACTCTTTTATCTCCAAACTTTAGCACAAAAATATTCAAAATCTTAATAAATTCTGTGTTTAGAAATAAGGTAGAGGATTAGCATTTGTGGTAAATTATTCAATATTGCTATTAAGAGAAATTTGATTATTTATTTTTTTAGGAGGCTGAACTGCTAGCAAAAATAAAGAGGGAACACCAGGAGCAATCTCTTTACCATGACGAGGAGATTGAATTTCATAAAAATGCTATCAAAAGGCATACTGAAGCCATTGAACGACACACCTTACTTAAGACACAACACGACGCTTCAGTGCGAGATCATGAAGGATCGGAAAAAAATTTAATAAATATGGAAAGAACAAAGAAAAAATAATTTAAAAAAAATTGGTTTCAGCAGGACATAATGATTTCCTAATAATAACAATCTTTATTAATTTAGATTATAATAACTTTTAAATCTTTACATTCAAAATTTGTAATGAATTCTTTTGTTTCTTTTTCACTCACTTTTTTTCGTCTATTGAATACTATAGATTAAACAGACATTTTCAACTCAACTTAATATAATAATTTATAAATTTTTTATTATAAATTTGTCTTGTGCTCACTGGGTAAGCACTTGTTGTGCTCACTGGGTTAATATAAAAAAACTGATTTAGAAATCTTTCCTGACATTTCATATGCTTTTGCATAAAGTTAATGAATGCATAATCATATATGAATATAATTTAAGTACTATGACAATGAAGTGATGATTAAATTGAAGATGGACAATTTATTAATTTCAATAATTAAATATTGAGATCTAATAAAAAATAAAAATTTTCGAATTAAAACCTATTGGGGCACTGCAATAGGTCAATAGAATAACTACAGTTAGTTGTTGTTTAAAGCAAAGGTTTGTTTAAAACAAAAGAAAAGTGAAAGTATTGTTGTGCTAATCAGTGACGGATCCAGGAATTTCATTCATAATCCCTCCCCCCTCCCTCTCCTGGATCCTTAACTGCTGCTAATATCCATTCGCATTATATTCATGTTTAAATCTATTAACATGAATATACTAATACTATATTATAATATTAGTATATTAAAGTTAAATGAAATTAAGTTAAAAACAAAAAATATGTGTAACATTCAATATTTATTATGATACATAATGATTTGCTCTCAATGACCTTGTGTGACCATAGCTAAAAAAATAAGCTGTTAAAAAGGAGTTCACTTCTCAGTATATTAGTTTTTCAGTTCAAGTTATTTTTACTTTAGGTTTTTAAACCGATCTTTTTAGTAGGACTACTTTAAAATTAAATCAAATATATTCTGAATAAAGTTGTTACATCAAGAATATTTACAAATAGTAATTGGTACTAATATGATTTTTTTTTTTTTAAATTATCTTCGCTTCCAACAAGGTTGCAAGCAACCACTAATTAGTGTTGGAAGTTACTGGAAGAGAAAAGATGAAAATTGTAGAGCAAGATAACGATTGACAGACGACTTAAAATATTGCAAACTATATGAATCAGGAAAGCAAGATGAAGGAAGCGAATTCCAAAGAACTGATGTTCGAGGAAAAAAACTAGACGAATAAGAGTTTTTGGAGCACTTAGGAACAGTAACAGAAAAAGAATGAGACTTAATTGAATGACGAGTAACACGAGAATGAATTTTAGTAGATGGCACAAGAGACGCTAGCTCTTTAGAGCAGTGCCCATTATAGTATTCATAGAAAAGAGAAAGAGAAGTAACATTACGACGATGTGACAGAGGTTGAAGGTTGGCTGCAAGAGCTGATCCAACTATGTTTACAATGCATTTTTGCATCTTGTTTAAAAGAGAAAGGGCATCAATAGAAGATCCGCCCCAGATATGGTAACAGTATTCCATACAAGGCCGAATTTGAAATTTATAGAGATAGAGAATAGAATCCAGAGTAAGAAAGTGACGAGCTCGATAAAGAGAAGCAACTTTAGCAGATGCTAATTTTGCAACGGATTTGATATAAGGTTTTTAAGAAAGATCAGAAGTAAGAGTTAATCCTAGAAGATGAAGGGTAGGAGACTCATCGAGTACATTACCGTTCATAAATATAGGAAGGTCTAAATTATTGCGATAACGATTGGCCGAAAAAAATTGAGTTTTATCTGAATTAAAGTTCACCAGCCACTGCGAGCCCCATGCTGTAGCAGAAGTGAGATCCTTTTCGAGCTCAGATGCCCCCTGCAAGCAATCAGAGGGAGTTGGCTTCTTATCGTGACAAGAATAAATTGTAGTATCATCAGCGAACAATGCCACCTTAGATGTGAGAATATCTGGAAGATCGTTAATGTAAATTAAAAAGAGTATAGGGCCAAGGATTGAACCTTAGGGAACCCCTGAGGTTACAGAATAAGAAGAAGAGTGCTGTCCATCAAGGACAACTTTTATACTACAATTGGAAAGAAAGGATTCAATAATCTTAAAGATGTTTCCAGATACACCATAAGAAGAAAGCTTATGGAGGAGACCAGCATGCCAAACTTTATCAAACGCTTTAGAAATGTCAAGAGCAACGGCCTTAAACTCTCCACCTTTACCTAATGCGCGATAAAACCTATCGGTTATTACTGGTAGCAAATCAGCCGTAGAACGAGAAGATCGAAATCCATACTGATGATCAGAAAGTAGGTTATGAGATTTGAGATGAGAGATTAAGTGTTTGTTAATTAAAGATTCAAAAACCTTGCTTATGATAGGAAGAAGACTAATGGGACGGTAGTTAGATGAGTCAGATCGCTCTCCAGAATTTTTAAAAATAGGGATAACAGATGCTGCTTTCCAGCAGGCTGGAAAACAAGACTCTGATAAGCACTTGTTGAATAGTTTTGAAAAGATAGACGACAGCTCAGGAGAACACTTCTGCAAGACTATAACAGGTATGTTGTCCGGGCCGCAAGCTGTAGAAGAGTCTAAGCGGGAAATCACTTTAGATACAGAAGCTGGAGTGATACGAATGTCGAGCAATGGATCAACCTGTTTGACGGGTATATCAGGTAAAACGCAACTAGTGGCATCAAGAGATGATATTGATGAAAAGTTCTTGGCAAACAATTCAGCTTTGTCTTTAGGTGAGGTGACAAAGTCTGAACCATACAAAAGAGGTGGAATTACAGACTTGCCCTTATTATTGATACTATTAAAGATTCTCTAGAAGTCACGAGAGCCTAATTTTTGTGATGAAATACGAGATTTCATGATCTGAGAATAGCGGGTTTTGGTGTTAGACAAAACCTTTTTACAATGGTTCCTAGCAGTAATAAAAAGACGTCTGTTTTCTGGAGAATTGTTTTGCTGATAGATATGGAAGTAATGGTTTCGATTGGCAATTGCAGCAGCACAATGTGAGGAAAACCATGGAGAAGAGTGAGGCTTGACCTGGAATCGTTGAGAGGGAATAAAGGATTCCATGCCAGCCTGAATCCACGAAGTTATGTAAGAAGCACATTTGTCAACAGAGAGACAAAAGATTTCTACCCAGGGGCCATCACGAAGAAAGTCACGAAAAGAGTCCCAGTCAGCTTTAAGGTAGTTGTAAGATGTACAATGATAAGGGGATTCTAATGGTAAAGAAGAATGAGATAATAGTTTTAGAGAGATCAAACCATGATCAGACGCACCTAAGGGTGAGTGTGAAGAAACTGAACACTTACTAGGATCAGAAACAAGACATAAGTCGAGTAGAGAAGGTAAATGATTCGGGTTGTCTGGAAAGCGAGTTGGAAAGTTGACTATTTGAGTTAGGGATTGAGAAAGACAAAAGTTGTGGGCCTTAATGCCTGCAGAGTCAGTGACACTAGAGCCAAGCCATTCAGTGTGATGGACATTAAAGTCACTGACAACAACAATATTGGCTGATGGATAAAGAATGAGGGCTTGGTCAATATAATCAGAAATAACATCAAGAACAGTGCAGTCTTGGGATGAGGGAGAGTGATATAGAACAAAGAGAAAGGTGATAGAGTGAAATGGTGCCAAACGAAAGCACATAAAAGAGTAGTCTGTGGATTCAAACCTAGTTTCCCGACAAATGGGTGAATTCTTGCGAATGTAAATGCCCAGGCCAAGCATGTGACTATTGGAGTCTTTACAAATTAAAGGAAGATAACCATCAACACTAAGATCACAAGATGAGACAGCTGAACTCAAATTAGTCTCACAAAGAGCAAGCAGGTCTGGTGAACTTTGCAAGAGATAAGACTCAACAGAAGAAAAGTTACTTCGAAGACCACGAATATTGGTGAATGATAGGTTTAGCGAACTTGGTGATGACTGTGGTTTTTTGTGTTTTATAGTTTTTGTTACTTTATTTATTTTTAAATTTGTTAAAGAACTTGACTCGAAACATTGATAGTACTCAGTACACTGTTCTATAGCTAAAGCAATTGCCTCATTTCCACTAATAAACCCTGAGCCGTAACAAAGGGCTCCAATGTGGCCTTGGCAATGCACACCAAAAGTACAAACAGGGACACCATCCATGCGCAACATGGCACTGTTAGTACTCTGATATTTTTCAGCTGTTGATGGAATCAGCCTCTCTGAGAGCTACCGCAGAGTTTGGGAAACCTGACTACCAGCCGGCCTCAGAACCATAAAACTGATTTTACAAGTAGCAGGATAAACCTGACCTGACTGACCAGTAGCAGGATAAACCTGACCTGACTGAGAATTAAACATTTGTCACATACAATAATAGTAAAATGATAATAATTATAATACAAGTAGGAGTAAATAAAAATAATAGTAGTGATAATACGAATCTGATAATATTAATACGCTAATTTAATATTATTAGTCGAAGTAAGTCATTTTTTAGGCTTTTCTATACGCGGTTTTTTTCTTTAATTTTATTTACTAACAATTACTGGTCTCTATAATAACTTATTATAGAATATTTTAGAATATTATAGTTATTATAGAGATCAGTGCTAACAACGCGTATTACGGGTTGCTTACTGCTAATTAAAAGTAATAGCAAAGATTTTAAAACTATATAATTTGTCATAATAACAACAATAATCATTTAACAAAAACCGTAATATAAAAACAACAATAATAACATTATTAACAACTGTAAGAATAATATTTATTATGATAAAAATATAGTAATAATAACAATCTTAGAATTAAAGGGATTACGGAAAGTGTTAACGAAACCTGGGAGGAGACCGAAGATAAAGTTTTATAATTATTTTCTAAAACTTTGGAAGTGAATGAAGTGAATGAGATCGAACGAGCCCATCGCATAGGCTATAAAAAAGACGGAAAAACAAGAACTATAATTCTAAAATTACTAAGATTCAAAGACAAAGCAAAAATCCTGAAAGAAGCCCACCGACTCAAAGGACTAAACATTTATATAAACGAAGATTACTCTCGAGAGACTTCAATTATAAGAAAGAAGCTATTTTCAGAGGCGAAGCTAAGAAGAGAAAACGGAGAGA